AAAAACGTGGCTATTTATTAATATCTTGAACGCTAAAAAAGTGCATCTTTTTTATATTTTTTTAATATGTATCTATTTTGTCCATTCTAATCACAATACGGCTGACTATCGAAAAAACAGATTATGACTCATCATAATTGTTGACGTACAATATATACCAAACACATACAAGTCGTTGCTTTATCTTGCATCCAGTTACATACACACTTATATATATATATGTTGGAGTAGAAATTAAAATTCAGTAGAATTTAAAATTCTACTAGTAGAAATTAAAATTTCAATTTCTACTAGGAGAAATTGAAATAGCAGGCAATTTTAAGTTACACTAGTAGAAATTAAAATTTTAATTTCTACTATAGTAGAATTTTAAATTCTACTAAAAAGTTATACTATGGATATATATGAATTTCTATTGTAATAAAAGATAAACTCTTATACGGATGATGCAATACATAGAATGAAAAGAAATAAAAAGCTTTTGAATATTTAACTTCAACTTCTCGTGACAGTATCAAAAGGAAAAACATTTAAATAGTATATAAAATGGAGCTATTTTATTCGAAATTGGATCAACATATACTATCGTTAGGTGAGAAATTTCGTTCAAAGTTTGTTATCACACAAGCTGTTTATAATGACATCATGTTGGTATTGAAAGATGCTCGTGGTGAAGCTCAATTTAAGTTCTGGGTCCATAAACACTTTAAATTAGTTACTATTGGTGAATTACAAGTTGTTTATGGCATTAAATCAAATAATCCGGTGATCACTTATGAACAATTATACACAACCATTAAAGAATGCCATGAAAGATTAGGACATCATGGTCGTGATAAAACGTGGAGAGAAGTAGTATTTTGTACTAAAATTCAAAATGAAAATTATAATTTTATTTTATATTAAGGTGAGACAACAGTATTGTTGGATTCCATTTGATGTAGTAGTCATTTTCCTTTCACAATGTGATGTATGTTGGAATCGCAAAGGATTTCCAAAACCAATAGCAGGTAGAACCTAGCCTTTCCTTTCTCACATCTTGTACGCTCTACATAATAAAATTATTCTATAGATAAACCTATTGTTTCGATTGGATATTTAACACGTCTACAGATGGACTTAATAGATATGAGAAGCATGCCGGACGGTGAATATCAGTGGATCCTACACACGAAGGATCACTTTACAAAGTTTTCGTGGGCCTACCCACTTAA